CACCGAGGTATCTGTCTGGTTGTGATCTTGGCCGTTGCGACCTACGCAGGGTAATAGTTTAAGCATTTGCATTGTCGGTTTGACTCTGACCAATGTCAACAACTGCTTCCTAAGCACTTTGATTATCAGTTTTATCAGGCTGACTTTGTTGCTCGTCCCCTTGAACTTCATCGAGTTCGATTTTCCTCCCACTTGTCATTTTGGAAAGGTGTTCCTTCTCCAAAAAGACACCATCACGAGCAACAAACACTTTGTTCTCGGATTTGTTGTAAAACTAATACCCTTTGGTTTCTTTTGGGTATCCCACAAAGAAACACTTGTCTGATTTTGGGTGAAGTTTGTTAGAAATTAATCTCTTGACATATGCTTAAGAAAAGACAACCGTGGAGGTTTATTTATCCATAATTCATATGGAGTCTTTTCGACGGCTTTTGACGGAGCTCGGTTCAGTGTTAGTATTGTGGTTACAAGTGCGTGTCCCCAGAAAGAGATAGGAAGATCACTAAGACCCATCATTCATCGGACCATGTCTAACAAGGTTCGATTCCTCCACTCGGACACTCCGTTCCATTGTGAAGTTCCTGGAGGTGTTAACTCTGAGAGATGCCATTTTCTTTCAGATGATCGTCGAATTTGTGGCTCAAATACTCGCCACCTTGATCTGATCGAAGTGCTTTGATTTTCTTGCCAAGATTATTTTTCACTTCACTCTGAAACTCTTTGAATTTTTCAAAAGATTCAGATTTGTTCGACATAAGGTAGACATATCCATATCTACTATAGTCGTCCACATACATCCGTATGTATAAGACCCAATAAGTCCCTATCCCTTTCTCCTAACTTGGAAAATGGTTGCTTTATCATCTTGCCTAATAAACATCCTTCGCAATTTTCAAACGTCACTAAATCGAATGAGTCAAGAATACCTTCATGAAGAAGTTTCTTGATGCGTTTGATGTTAATGTGGCCAAAACGACAATGCCAAGAGTAGGTTTGATTCGACTCAATGGTCTTAGATCTTTTGGTGGTATCAATAACATTTGTCTAATTACATATAAAATGTGTAATCTAATATAACATATAAACAAGACATTCAAAACAACTACTGTTATAGTCTTGTGATCAAATAACCCGGCGTCTAACGCCATAGATCAAAATATGTTCAAAAGAATGATCAACTAAAATTAGTTCATTACAAGCCAAAGACAAATAATGTGCCTACAAACATGATAGAAAGATCATCTTCATCGACTGCTCGTAATTGCACATCCACTTGTAAAGCCCTTTCTCACTTGGTCTATGAAAATGGGAGCATAAAGTAAGTTAAACATGGTATCCAATACCTATGAATAGCTTTATAAACAAGTGTTAAAGAATATACCTGAGGTGGATGAAACATTCCACTCCTTCTCATCCCTTTAAAAGATCTTGCATTTCCTCTTATAGTGGCCTTTCCCACCACAATGGAAGCATCGCATCTTTGCTTTGTTCTTGAACTCCTTCTTCTTTGCACTCTAGGGCCTTTTGGTTGCTCCATAGGAGGTGGCTTAGCGAAGTAGCTGCACCACATCTCTTAAAGAGTGTGACTCCTTTCCCGCAGTTATATGCAACCTAAGTACATCATAGCCTGAGTGGAGTGAAGCAAGCAAGATATGACCCTAATAATTCTTATCACATGAGGTTGGAGGGGTATACCGAGTCTCAATTTAGTATTACAGACCCTTGACCAATGCCGGTACCTCTCCTTAGCAAGGGAACCCTCTTCCGGTGGCTTTATCTTCATGTTTGAGGCTGACATAGTCACATCAAACACGAGTCCATCATAGTTTCCATTGAGACTCTTGGTGACTCTCACATTGACAATGTCCTCAAGTGCTTTGAGGAACATGTCCGGAAAAAAGGAGGAGAACTTTTCCTTCCATTCGTCCGGGATGGAATTAGCCATTAGTCATGAGACTTTCTTGCAATCGGAAGACCATGCATCATGAGTTTCATCACTCATAATTCCCTTAGAGAAGAAGCTTGGAATGGTAGTATCAAGAATGTACTCCATGGAACAATTCCAAAGAGTTTTCTGGAGTTCCTCTTCCTATTCCTTGAAGTTGACCAAGTTTAGGCTAAAAGCCAACTTGTCGGGGAGTTCCGGGTACATAAAGTTGTTGTTGTTATTAGTTGTAGACATGATTCTACAATTGAAAGAATTTGAAATGAAAAACCATTCATAAAACAAACTTATTGAGCCTTATATCCACGCATTAAAAATTTGCCCCTTTTAGTGATTCCAAGATCCCAAAAATAAAAAAGTGATTAAGCATGCTTTGGCTTGTCTTAATACTTAATATTTTAGGGTAAGCAATCCAATGGCTAATAGCTCTAAGATACTCTTGGTTCGTTAAAACATCGCATCTAATGCTTTCTTGACATTTGAAATCTTAAACATGCATCTATCATACCATTCAATCATATATAAACATAATTATATATATAAAACATAAGTAAAAGATGCATTTGTCAACTAGCATGACCCCTTGAGTCTTCAAGTCTTCAAGGGTCTTCGATGCATCCTCTTAGCTTGTCTTCTTAGAAACACCGTCTTCGAGACATCTCCACCAAATATGCAACTACTAGCTATTATGATTAGGACTAATCTAAATATTAAGGTACAAATATACGCAACGGTACGCAGACCATATTTAGATTTACAAAAATACATAACGGATTGCAATTCGTATTACTATCCTAATCGGGCCCCACTAGCTGCCATTTTCACAAAACCTGTGATACAATATACATTCCATTCATCCATTCACTATTCGTGAATGGCCCATGCATTTTACAACGTAAAACAAGTAACAATGCATAACACGCGCAAACTAGTAACTAACTTAGGTGGGTAATCCGATTAACGCGCCAATTAAAACTAGTCAAAGTTGTTAACTGATTATGTGATTAAAATGCAATAAAATTAGCTCAAGTAATTAACGAATCTCCCAATAAATTCCGCATCCAACTTAATAAATTCAATTAATTAAGCCGATTAACCCAAATTTTGCCAAATTATTTTACAAGTGCCGGCAAACCGAGGCCTAGCCTCTTTAAATAATTAAATAATTTAAACGGCAAAAATCGCAAAACACATAGCCCAACGATGCTTTACGATGCCCAAGTGCTTAGTACCAAGGCTCGAGGTGCCTTACGTGGTCGCACCCGCTCAACCGCTTATGGCCCAAGCATGTGGGAGTGACTCCAATGCCGCATACGCGTAACACCGACCACATTAGCGCAGTTAGCTTGCACACACACAAGACATGGCCTCAAAGGTCCCAAATCATGTGAGCTTATGCTACCTAGCAACACATCGCAACACCAACACACCCTTATCATAGCATCTTGTGCGCATCACCCACGCATCCTCGATGCATCAAGCACGCACACATCGCCCCATGCGTGTAGGCAACTAGCGTGCACCTAGCCTTACATGCAACACAACAGCAACCCTTCGAGGCATGAGCACCCTCATGCGCACCTCGGCAGCCACATGTGAGCTGCGTGAGCAGCCCAGCTAGCTGTAGGGTGTGCTTGTGTGGTCATTGCCTCGATTTGCATGCTTTTATCTCGGGATTTAATCCCCATATGTTTGTGACATAAAATTGATTCTAAATTTATTTTAGAACCAACGTTTCAGCAAGAATGAAAATAAAACAAGTTTAACTTAAATAAATTCAATTTTAGTGCACAAACCAAAATTATTCAAGAACCGTTCTTTAAATTATTTTTGGTTCATCTTGATGGTACAAAATTGAAGGGCTATACTCATAATTAATTTAACCATACATAAAATTATAATGAGATTTGACTAAATTAAAAGGGTTGGAAAAATGAACATATTCATTCAATAAAAAATTTCCAACAACTTGTGTAAACTTGAAAAAATTACATCTTCCAATATGAAGATTAATTAAATTTCAATCACAAGTTTTGAACTTTTAGGACTTTAATCAACTAAAAACTGATTAAAAATCCAAAAATTAGTTCAACATGGAATTTAGAAAGTAAAGTTCCAATCAAATAAACAATTAAAGATTGGATCTTTAACATTTTTAAGGGACTTAAAATTACAATTCATCATACACATTCACATTTGAAGCAATTGATTTGCAAAATTGTGAAATTACAAGTTTATGTGAAAAATGAGCTCACCAAATTAAGCACCAAATATGACTTCACAAACATGCTTAATAAGGTTTATTATTGCAGTAGATTAGTGATGCAACCATATATATAATCTACCTTTAACATGCCATAATCAATCAAGGTTTAAAGATTTAAAATTTTTCGTCCAAAACGAAAAGCCCCTCGAAAAACATGTTTGTGGGTGGATTTTGGCTTCTGGACAATCCTCAAAAGGGACGAAAACGAGTTAGAACATCGATTCACCCAAAATTCACTATTTTTGGGTCGAAATCTGGGTTCGTGAGCCAAAATTAGTATACATACGAGATTATAACACTAGTAGAAAAAATGAAATAGGCACCGCAGAATCGCACCGGTTCTTAAAAACCAGTGCAAAAAATATAGGCGGGATTGAGGGGAAGTGTTTTCCCACCGGTTCTAACCAAACCGATGCGAAAAATGAGTTAATCGCACCGGTTCGATTCGAACCGGTGCGAAATCTATTGTAAAATAAAAGAAAAACCTAGATAAACTCTTTCATTTCCTCGATCTTTCCTCCTCTCTCATCTGCCTCTCTCTCCTCTCTCTCTCCTCCATTGAAGCGTACTCGAATTTCTTCATTGAAAGAGCTTCTGAGCTTTCTCTCAGCACTTTCCTCAAACTCCTGCTCTCTCCTTCGATCTACTTCTCCATAACCGCCACTTTCCCTTTCCTTTCTTCTCTCTTTCGATCTCCTTCTCCTTCTCTCTTTCTACGATATTGGAGGTTAGGGTTTCTGGGTTCGTCTATTTTGAATCAATTAGATGTGCGTGCGTCTTCAACAACAACAAATTCGAATCAATTTTGAACCAAAAATCAGAAATTCGAGGTTAGGGTTTATGGGTTATTTGGCTTTGCGTTATATTTTGGTCTTTTGGTCCAATTATTTATGAGATGTTGAAATTTGTTTATCCTTATGTAGTAAATGGTATATTTGTGTGAACATGTGCATGTGCATTGTTTATTTGGGTGGCTCCTGAGTGTGATTTATGGTGATAATGCAGACAGTAGACCTAAGCTGGTTGCTGGATCACCTGAAGGATACTCTGGACATGTTGATGGGAAGTACAGGGAAGCGAGGTTAAACCATCCGAAAGGTGTTGCTGTTGATGACAGGGGGAATATTTATGTCGCGAATACTATGAATATGGCAATCAGGAAGATTAGTGATCCAAGTATTTCGGAGACTCGTGTATGCTACATTGAGTAGATTATTGCCAAATTGTCCATTGAGGATATGAAAAACACATTGGAATTAGGATGGAACGATAATTCGTGTGATTGAACTCCTTTCCATTTGGAAATAGTCTTGTATGAAGCTGATAATAGGATGGTAGATTGAAGAGCTTATAATAGCAAAGAGCTTATAATAATTAAATGTCCTGATTTATTAGTAGAATGTGATATTTTTCAATCCTGTTTCTACTGAATGATTATGGGATGAGCTCAAAGCTGACTTGTTAAGTGCAGAGTATCTAGACTAATCGTACTATATGTTTCAAGAGTCACAACAATTGCTGGTGGGAAATGGAGTAACAGAGGTGGTCATGTTGATGGACCGAGTGATGAAGCAAAGTTCTCCAATGACTTTGATGTTGTCTATGTTGGAAGCAGTTGTTCCTTGCCGGTCATTGATAGGGGGAATCGGGCAATCAGGGAAATTCATCAAGAAAGTTTGGAGGAAAAACTAGGAAATAAATTTCCAATGGTTAGTGTTACTTTCCTGCTGTCATTGGACTCTAATGCATAACAGCATAAGGTATAGCAAATATACACTGATTTCTGCTCATGATTTTCAGCTAAAATCTTGCTCTCAAGAAAACTTACAAAAAGCAGGCAGATCACATGCTTTAGTATCTATACTAAAGGAAAACTCATCTTTAATACATAACCCTAAGGTATTTCTATGTTCCCCACTTTATATTTGTATTGCAACTGAAATTACTGTTTTTTCATGAACTACTTATTCCTATTGTTTTAGTAGCAAATCACTACTTAAAATCTGGTATCGAACGATGAGCTAATAAGTGCAAATGATAGTTAATTAATTGTTAAAGACTGATTCAGTGATTTCAGTGGAACCTTCGTCAAGAAAGTTGCCTATTTGGGGGTAATTTACGCCTTGATAGTATATCAAAGAACATTTCTACTTCAATAGAATTAGATACCCCTTTGTAGTTAAGCAGGAGTCAAGAGAAATTGTAGCCTAATCACATGTGTCTAAGCTAAACATAAGGTATTAGTAAAAAAGATGGATAAAATCAAGAAGACAGTTATTTCTGGTTGCATAATGATTGAGATCAAACCTCCTTAGAAGTGTCGTCTATTTTAGTTCACCAAACTCTACTTTTTAGTTAATATTTAACAAATGCTTCATAAAATAATCAGTATCTTTTAATCTTTCTATAGAATTAATGAAGTATAATTTATCTAACATACAATAATGTTATGGTAGCTAAAAGACCTCTATTTGTGCTGGCCTTCCCTCTTGGTAAGCTAAAGCAGATTTTATGATCTCCTTAATCTGTTTGGTGACATTGCTTTTGCTCATTCTTTTCTGTCACCATTACAGGAATTGCTCTGCTTCTTGCTGCTGGATTTTTCGGCTACATGTTAGCCCTATTGCAGCGGAGAGTTGGTTCGATTGTGTCTTCTCAAAATTTAAGAATTACCTACCCCTCCTAAATTGCCATTTTGGGTGTAAAAATGCTATGCAGTATATGACTTGTTTACTTAATCACAGGATGCCAAAATAACGGAAAACACTTCATCTAGTCCATACCAGAAGCCTCTTAAATCTGTGAAGCCCCCATTGATCCCTACTGAAGATGATACAGAGAAGTAAGAAGAAGGGTTTTTCGGATCACTTGGGAAGTTGCTTGCCAATGCTGGCACAACAGGCATGGAAATTATTAATGGCATGATTCTATGTTTTAAAAGAAAGCCAGCGGTGTATCATATAGGAATCAAGGACCGTATATCAAACCAATAATTGGCAGTCATAGAGTTTTGAGATACCCAAAGAAGAGGAGCCTCCTTCAATTGAAACTAGGGTGCCCACCCCAAAGAAAACCTATGCCTTCATGTCTAAGGATGCAGAAAAAATGCGGCAGCAGCTAAGACAAAGCCGAGTTTTATACAGTGGTTGGGACCTTGTATTTTATTATATATTTTGTTTGGACGAAAATTGTAATATTACAGCCTTTTTAATGAAAATATGTAACTTATATATATGTTAGTGTTTCTATATCAATTTAAGTGAAAAAAATGTAAAAAAAAAAAACAAATTTTTTTATTTTTTTGGAGCATTTTTGGCGCCGGTTTTGAAATAGAACCGGTGCTAAAAAAAAAATTTAGTTTTTTTGGGCCATTTTTCGCATGAACCGGTGCGAAATCTTAGTTTTCGCACCGGTTTTGAACATCCCTCAAATAAGGACCGGTTCAAAATCGGTGCGAAATGGGGGTTTTAAACCGGTGCCCATTTGTATTTTTCGCCTAGTGTAACAAATTAAAACGAGCTTCTAAACTAATTAGAAAGCTAAACAAGAAATTTAAATCCATTTTTAATCACCTTAATTAATTATTAGTTACAATAATTAAAATGAGCGCGGCTCTAATACCACAGTTGAGTTTCGTAGTGTCCAACACTACGCAGAATGAAACCCGCCCAAGACTCGCATACTAATTAATGTAACTAAACATGCAATCACATAATTAAACAACAAAAGAGATAAAAAGAAAAGATGATCTTACCCTCGACGCGTGCTTCACTCGCTTACGGGCTCTTACTTGAAAGCTCTAGCTTCGCAAGTGCGTAAGCCTCCGACGGCTCGCACCCTCGACCCGACCGGAGCGGTCTCTACCCTGAAGTTTAGTCGGGGCTAGACCAAGGAAATACTAGAGTATTACGAACTTAAGGGTTTTCTCACTTATAAGGAGATGCCTTATTGAGTTCAACTCAAGTGCTTCTTTCCAAACCCTAAACATGAATATTTATAGGGAAGGGAGTCTTGATTTCCCATCTCCCTTCAATGTGGGAGAATTGCATTTTGCACAATTTATTTTAATCAAAAAACAAATTAAATGCAAATGAATCAACAAGCGCCAAGTGGCAAATGGCAAATGGTGAGCAAGGGTAGGTAAGGACCACTAAGGAGGGGGGGGACCAAACAACACTTGCTCCCCAAGCAAGCCACCAAGACCGGTCTACCTTTGACTAAAACCTGACCCCACGCATGGCTAGCTGGCGCCTAGCACCAAGGCTGGGCTAGCTGGTCAGCCTGCCTTCGCATGCGCGCAGCAAGCAAGCCACGCACGCAATGCGGGCTTCTGCTGCTGCGATGTGTGCGCTGTGCTGGGCAATGCCCAGCTACAGCGTGTTGCGAGTGGCTGGGTGCGAGGCCCAGCATGCTAGCATGCCTAGCGTGCTAGCAAGCCTGCGCTGTTAGTAAGCTCGACATGGTGTGAGGCCCAACACAGTAGCACGCTAGCATGCGCCAGCTGCTTACATGCGTGCGGCCAGGTACACCAGCCCCGCTAGCATGCTCGGCCAGTGAGCCTAGCACGCATATGCATGCTTGGCTTGCGGCATTCCTTGCGATGCGGTTGATAGCTTAGGCTAGCCTAGCACTTGCATGGCTAGGCCAATGCGAGGCTACGGCCTAGCTCGAACTTGTCACTTGCTTGATTTCTCGTCTCTTCGAATTCTTAATTCGACTCGACTTATGACGCTCGATTTCGACGCTCTAAGCTCGATATCCGACATCTTTGTTCGTAATAATCTAATGACTCATCTAATCCTTTGGATTGATTTGTCGTCTCGGATCGGTTACTCGATTGTGGTGAGACCTAAAGGGTTCAATCAAGATTAAGTTGTAATATTAATTATACATTAATATTACTGATTGGAAGCGGCCTCCACCTACATTCTGATCACTTGACCTCACTGAATAATTAGCTTTCTAATAATTCTGAACCCTCTATCGGAATAATATACTTATTGGAAGGACACCATTCCTTTCACGTAGGTCAGACATCATCAGAAAGAAACAGTTTATTGATGTCCTGTTAATTGAAGATTCTGAAATCTTCGTATTGGAGAGTGTGGAACCCACAACCCACAAACAAGCTTTGGCGAGCCCCGACTCAGAGAAATGCCTTGAGGCCATGAAATCCGAAATGGACTCCATGTCTGAAAATGATGATTGGGACCTAGTAGACTTGCCTGATGGGGTCAAACCCATTGGTTGCAAATGGTTCTATAAGATCAAGACAGACAAAGATGGAAATGCCTACATCTATAAAGCAAGACTTGTTACAAATGGCTTCAGACAAATTCAATGTATTGACTATGACGAAACCTTTTCCCTGGTAGCAATGCTTAAGTCTATTCAGATTCTTCCAGGGATTGCTGCATTTTTCGATTAAGAAATTTGGCAGATGGATGTCAAAACCGCCTTCTTAAATGGGTTCTTGACAAAGGATGTGTATATGACACAATCTAAGGGTTTTTAAGATCCAGAAAAACCTAGAAAGGTATGCAAGCTTCAGAAATCCAATTTATGGATTGAAGCAAGCATCAAGGAGTTAGAACATTCGTTTCGATGAGGCAATCAAACAATTTGGTTTCCTCAAGAGCGAAGAAGAACCTTGTGTATACAAGAAGTCTAGTGGGAGAAGCCTAGTTTCCATTGTCTTGTATGTAGATAACATACTGCTCATAGGGAACGATATACCAATGCTTGAGTCAAACATGGAGTGGTTGAAGGGTTGTTTCTCCATGAAAGACTTGGGTGAGGCTGAATACATATTTAAGATCCATCAAGATAGGTCTCGAAGGATGATTGGACTAAGTCAAGAGACTTATATTGATAAGATCCTTGACCGGTTCGACATGTAAGACTCCAAGAGAGGATTTCCCATGTGTCATGGTATTATGCTTAGTAAAACTTAGTGCCCTCAAAATCTAGAAGAGTTTAAGTGTATGGCTAGTGTAACTTATGCCTCTGCAATAGGGTCCATTATGTATGCCATGATATGTACAAGGCCAAATGTTGCATATGCCCTAAGCATGTGCAACAGATTTCAAGAAAATCCAGGGGAAGCACACTAGATAGCTAAGAACATCCTTAAGTACTTGAGAAGGACTAAAGGAATTTTTCTGGTTTATGATGGCGAAAATGAATTGGTTGTCAAGGGAAATACGGATGCGAGTTTCCAAACAGACAGAGATGACTTCAAATCCCTGTCTAGGTACATTTTCTGTCTAAATGCGGAAGCAGTGAGCTGGAAAGCCCTCAAAAGCCGGAAGAGTTGAAGCGTATGGCTAGTGTACCTTATGCCTCCGTAATAGAGTCCATTATGTATGCTATGATATGTACAAGGCCAGATGTTGCATATGCTCTAAGCATGTGCAGCAGATTTTAAGGAAATTCAGGGGAAGCACACTAGACAGCTGCCAAGAACATCCTTAAGTACTTGAGAAGGACTAAAGGAATGTTTCTGGTTTATGGTGTGGAAATGAATTGGTTGTCAAGGGGTATACGGATGCGAGTTTCCAAACAGACAGAGATGAGTTCAAATCCCAGTCTAGGTACATTTTATGTCTGAATGGAGGAGCAGTGAGTTGGAAGAGTTCGAAGCAAAGCACTGTCACAAACTCTACGACAGAATTTGAGTATTGGGCTGCGGTAAAAGCAGCTAAAGAACCAGTTTGGATCAAGAAGTTCCTTATAGAGCTAGACATTGTACCAAGTGCTCAAGAAGGAATTGAGTTGTTATGTGACAACAATGGCACCATTGTTCAATCAAAGGAGCCAAGTTCACATTACAAATCCAAACATGTTGAGAGGAAGTATCACCTCTTTCGAGAGATCGTTGGCAAGCGGGATGTCAAGACTGCAGAGTT